GATATTCGTTGATTAGAATAGAAGAGGTGAGGTATTTGTTGAATTAGAATAGACGAGGTGTGGTATTCGTTGAATTAGAAAGGAAGAGGTAAGGTATTCGTTGAATTAGAATAGAAGAGGTGAGGTATTCGTTGAATTAGAATATAAGAGGTACGATATTCGTTGAATTAGAATAGAAGAGGTAAGATATTCGTTGAATTAGAATAGAAGAGGTAAGGTATTCGTTGAATTAGAATAGAAGAGGTAAGATATTCGTTGAATTAGAAAGGAAGAGGTAAGGTATTCGTTGAATTAGAATATAAGAGGTACGATATTCGTTGAATTAGAATAGAAGAGGTAAGGTATTCGTTGAATTAGAATATAAGAGGTAAGGTATTCGTTGAATTAGAATAGAAGAGGTATGATATTCGTTGAATTAGAATAGAAGAGGTGAGGTATTTGTTGAATTAGAATAGACGAGGTGTGGTATTCGTTGAATTAGAAAGGAAGAGGTGAGGTATTTGTTGAATTAGAATAGAAGAGGTGAGGTATTCGTTGAATTAGAATATAAGAGGTAAGGTACTTGTTGAATTAGAATAGACGAGGTGTGGTATTCGTTGAATTAGAAAGGAAGAGGTAAGGTATTCGTTGAATTAGAATAGAAGAGGTGAGGTATTCGTTGAATTAGAATATAAGAGGTACGATATTCGTTGAATTAGAATAGAAGAGGTAAGATATTCGTTGAATTAGAATAGAAGAGGTAAGGTATTCGTTGAATTAGAATAGAAGAGGTAAGATATTCGTTGAATTAGAAAGGAAGAGGTAAGGTATTCGTTGAATTAGAATATAAGAGGTACGATATTCGTTGAATTAGAATAGAAGAGGTAAGGTATTCGTTGAATTAGAATATAAGAGGTACGATATTCGTTGAATTAGAATAGAAGAGGTAAGGTATTCGTTGAATTAGAATAGAAGAGGTAAGGTATTCGTTGAATTAGAATAGAAGAGGTGAGGTATTTGTTGAATTAGAATAGAAGAGGTGAGGTATTCGTTGAATTAGAATATAAGAGGTAAGGTACTTGTTGAATTAGAATAGACGAGGTGTGGTATTCGTTGAATTAGAAAGGAAGAGGTAAGGTATTCGTTGAATTAGAATAGAAGAGGTGAGGTATTCGTTGAATTAGAATATAAGAGGTACGATATTCGTTGAATTAGAATAGAAGAGGTAAGATATTCGTTGAATTAGAATATAAGAGGTACGATATTCGTTGAATTAGAATAGAGGAGGTAAGGTATTCGTTGAATTAGAATATAAGAGGTATGATATTCGTTGAATTAGAATAGAAAAGGTGAGGTATTTGTTGAATTAGAATAGACGAGGTGTGGTATTCGTTGAATTAGAAAGGAAGAGGTAAGGTATTCGTTAGAATAGAATATAAGAGGTATGATATTCGTTGAATTAGAATAGAAGAGGTGAGGTATTTGTTGAATTAGAATAGAAGAGGTGAGGTAGTCGTTGAATTAGAATATAAGAGGTAAGGTACTTGTTGAATTAGAATAGACGAGGTGTGGTATTCGTTGAATTAGAAAGGAAGAGGTAAGGTATTCGTTGAATTAGAATAGAAGAGGTGAGGTATTCGTTGAATTAGAATATAAGAGGTACGATATTCGTTGAATTAGAATAGAAGAGGTAAGATATTCGTTGAATTAGAATATAAGAGGTACGATATTCGTTGAATTAGAATAGAAGAGGTAAGGTATTCGTTGAATTAGAATATAAGAGGTATGATATTCGTTGAATTAGAATAGAAGAGGTGAGGTATTTGTTGAATTAGAATAGACGAGGTGTGGTATTCGTTGAATTAGAAAGGAAGAGGTAAGGTATTCGTTGAATTAGAATAGAAGAGGTGAGGTATTCGTTGAATTAGAATATAAGAGGTACGATATTCGTTGAATTAGAATAGAAGAGGTAAGATATTCGTTGAATTAGAATAGAAGAGGTAAGGTATTCGTTGAATTAGAATAGAAGAGGTAAGATATTCGTTGAATTAGAAAGGAAGAGGTAAGGTATTCGTTGAATTAGAATATAAGAGGTACGATATTCGTTGAATTAGAATAGAAGAGGTAAGGTATTCGTTGAATTAGAATATAAGAGGTAAGGTATTCGT